GTAAGAGGGGGACGAAGGGTTAGTCAAGATAAGATGACGAGAATATGAACTAGAACGGTAGCTGCCAACACTAAAAGGCAACAGGCGCATTTTAATAATGATGCGATCTCTGGCATTGCCATTGGCTAGTTTACTTTGTCTGCAAAACGGCCTTGAAGATGTGTGAACTCTCCATCAGGTGGATAGCCTTGCGACCAGCGGCTGGGGCAGCACTCGCAGGACGTCCCGCATACCTGAAGAGGGAAGAAGAGAAATAAAGTCAAAAGAAGAGATGAAACTTCGCCTCTAGAATTGGAATCCAATATACCCTTAGTAATTGTACACAGTATTACCGTGAGTCTCATGGGTGCATTTATGCCTAACTGACGTCGTTTTCCAGCATCCAATAAGCTAAGCCTTTCAAGGGCATTCGAAGTAACTAATTACTAGACATTATTCTGATTCGTCGCTTGTTTGTTTAACTCTCCGTTTTCGTAAAGGGCCAACTTGGGTCTTCGCCGCTGTACCTTCGTCGGGTGGGCTGACCTCCAGGCCATACCGATGGCCCAAATCCCTTCTGTACGTCGGCAATACAAACCGCATGCTAGTGCTTTTGGTGTGGGAAGACATCAAGGTACACATATGAACGCGCACAATTCTAGATTAGGCTTATGCTTGCTAGTATGAAACACACATAGCCAAACTCGCATATGTAAGGGAATGAGTGGGTTTGGGACTTACAGGAGCTTAGTATGCACACGGTTTGGGAGCTCACGCTGAATGAGATGCTCTATACGCGGTCGCACGTAGGTCCATGCGCCCTGGTTCCGGTGCTCCTCCTGTACCCACTGCACCACGGCGTTAGGGTAGCGCTCTAACTCCTCCTTGATCAGGTCGTAGGGAAGTGGCGTTAACTGCTCTACGCGTGCCACAGCTATCTCCCTAGTGAGATCCGCCGAATCTATGTGCTTTCTAATTTCGTAGTAGACCTAATACCACAAAGAATAAATTAATTCATACTTCACTCACTAACCCTAACCGTTGCGCCAAAACCCACCTACACACGAACCATAAAATTAATGACTTTTACGACAAAGTGAGTTTCAGTGAGGCAATCCCGAGTTAGAGCAGCAAGAAAAATTTCGACAGAAGAAATCATTGGAGCCATAATAGTAGGACAAGCAACTGTCATTACCTTTCCAGAGCAGAAAATGAGCTTCTTGACACTCTCAGGAGCCTCCCGAGCGAGACCGGCCTCGGGAATGAGGCGTTGGAAGCTGGTGCCAGGCAGCATTTCGTCGAATGAGGAGCGGGCGTCCGGGTGGCGCAGCAGTGACTTGGGCGTGAAAACGACTAACTAAGAAATAAACAACACTTTTGAATACCTAATTTCCTTTGCAACATTCGAAATAATTAGCAAAACAAAGAGTGTATAGAAGGGACTTCTTCTAAACCCTGTATGAGAGAGGCAGTAACGACCACCCCATACCACAAAATATCAAAGTGCACCTGAAATCAATCGGTACGGTTGTATACAGGTTTAGTTTTATAATAAAAATAATTCAAATGGCATTCAAGAATGATTATGCAGGATCTGTGCCACGAAAAACAATAAAAGTGTGTCGACTTAATGACACGGTGAAAATAAAATTAGCAGCACCTACACTGTAGAACAGGTAAAACGAATAAGCAAAATACGTGGTTACAATACAAATATTAGAAGAAAGAATAACTAATAGATGAAAATTTATTCAAACGAAAAAGCAAAAGCTTTTTAACAGAAGATACCTTGAAAAAGCTCGTTTACCTAAAGCCTAGAGAAACTCACTGGTCTACGGAAAGGCAAAAGAATTTGTCGGCGCAAGACGTGGAACATGTTGGCTGGTGTAGTACTGTTGACAATGATCCAGTTGGTTTCAAAAAGTTGCTCTTGCGAGAAATTCTCCTTGAACACCTTAAGGAACAATACCTTCCTTCCATTTAGCTGCATTAGACCAGACTGCACCTGATGAGATATGAAGCCCAGTACAACGTACAGGAATGTAACATTCATCATCGTTGGAGAGTTGAAGGAAGCGTTCCATGCGACCACTGGAGTGTTCAGGGCCCATGCCCTCCATGCCGTGAGGAAGGAAGAGAACAAGATTAGACTGACGCACCCACTTCTGCTGACCACTCGAGACGAACAGATCGATGATGCTCTGGGCGCCGTTAGCGAAATCCCCGAATTGGGCCTCCCAAATAACAAGAGAGTTAGGATTCGTGAGAGAGTAGCCCATCTCGAAGCCCATCACTGCATACTCTGAGAGGGAGCTGTTACAGATGGTGAAGCGCGCTTGGTCGGATGAGAGGTGCTCCAGTGGTACGTAGACCGACTTGTCAATATCCTGCAAAGGAATGGCCAACACATAAGTGGATGGAAGTTTTGGAACAGAGGTGGTGCGTTGAAGTAGTAAGTGAGTAATCCGACCGATCCTATCAAACTACAACTTTGTGAATCAAAGAAGGTGAATCGGAACACAAAAAATGAAGCTGAGAGATGGTAGCTAATCATACCTACCAGCTAACAACTTCTGAGAGATATAGACAAATGTAATATATGCATTGGATGCACACCGATGAATATGCTCGCCAAATGGAAATCTCGTGATCGAGGAAAAGAAGCCTGGGTTCGATCTCTCTCTACCTGTATTGTGGGCAGAGCGAGATGCGGCCTATGGCCAGCTCACAGCCCTACTGGAAATGCAGATTTTGCATAAAGTAAACACTTCCAAGCTTTTAATAATCACTTCTGATGATCCTATTCAAAGTCCCTAAGCACACGGGAGAAAAAATAAAAACAACACAGTCCGAATCTTAACCCAGAAACGTAGAAACGACAGCTTCTGAAAAAAAGATGTACAGCAAATTAACTCTTCCCATCAGTAAATAGCTGTACATAAATTAGAAGTAAGGATGCGCTTAGCCCTGCAAAATATTTTCAGACCCGTGTGATACTGGGGCGGTGCCAATGCCACACATGGTCGCAGACTCGCTGCAGACTATATGCTAAAAAGGAAAAACACAATAGTGGGGATCCAAAATGCGCGACCAGCGTAATGTGCACGCGGATTTGCATCTGTAGTGAAATTAGTTGGGTCAGTGCAATGATGATGCAAAAGTAAGAAGTCCCCTTCTTGTTGAGGTGTGTCATGGAAACCAGATGGCAACACGACCCATTCAGGTGAAAATTTGTACTCACATCTTGGTAAAAAGAGATTTTAAAACTACTATTTTCTCATCGGAATAGAGAGGCTGGTAGTAATATTAACCTTTTATTGTCCAGGCATACAGCTGACTGCTAATGTAAATCGAATCGGCTACTACACCTCAAACGATGCCCTGAATAAGTATGCTCTGAAGATGATTAATGCAAATAAGACCTCAATCCATTGAGATACAATTCGTAGTTATGTTATGGAAGTTAAAAATATCTTTCTTTAAGCACTGGGATTCGTTTTCGAGGTCAGACCAATCGAGTTCTGAATAGATGTTAGCACTCAAGCTTTCTTTTTATACATGAGTCTGGAATACTAAAATACTTTAATATTGAGCGACCTGATGATGGAGGACGGCATGTCGATGCGAAAAGGTGCCGCGTTCTACATCTTGACCGGAGACACGGACGTGGTTGCCAGACATGAGGAGAGAGCCGTAGGCGAGAAACTCGCCCAACGCCCAGTCCGCCAAACGATTCTTCACCAGCTCCGCACGACCTTTTAGCACACGCTTCAGACCGGGATGAACCACAAAGTTCGCCGGATAGCCACTCACGATTTCCCCTTGGGATAACAGCGTTGCACAATCAAAAACCAAACCCAAGACAGGTGTTAGCTCTTAAATTCAAGATGTCGCAAAAACGGGAAAACTCACCAATATGATTCAACTGTGATTCATCAACACCGGTAGAGGGAAGGTTCATGGGGTCGCGGTTGTCGAAGAAATTTTCCCAAGGAGAGTCGATCCAAGCACGGTTGTAAGTAACCGTCTGAGCCTTGGCCTCGGTATAGGCGTCGTCACATTGCTTGTGATATGCCTCGATTACATCCTACCATTGAATTAAAAGTGCCTCTGACACTTCTAAAGAACACATACGAGTCTACAGTAAGCTGCGTTCAGCATAAAGTTTGATTCTGGAAAGGTATTTAAAAGGTACTTTTAGCATATCGATTAGGACAGGCCATTTTTGGCTACCAACCAAAGTAATCCAGAGACGACATTTTAATCCGAAAAGACTTTTAAAGGTTTTTTTTGTCGAAAACGTCATTAACGAAACTTGCGACGAATTAATGAGAGCTAGTTTAAGATAGCAATGTTTTAGTGAGAGGATACCTTATGAACGAAAATGCTCAAACCGATGAATTTCGGGAGAGTTCCGACGAGACCTCACTATTCTGAGGCGAAGAAATTCACAGAGGTTAAAAGAAAAAGAAAGAAAAATCACTCCACAAGTTTCACTATTTTGATAGTCTATGTACCGGTGTTGCAGACTGCTTAAATTCGATTTCAGACCAAGGCTCTAAAGCTTTCATGCAGCTAGCACAGTTCAGAAACGAATAATCAAAATATCGATGAGGCTATCACCCATCACATTTACGCATCGAGTTCTCCCAACTTGAACCGTAATACTTAGGACATTGACACATTCATAATAACAAAAGTTCGATGAAACCAGTTATCCAATATACTTCTTTTTCAGAGGCTGTATTGAGACTCAAAACGGTTCAAATGGATGGTCTTGCATTGAGAGTTTTCTGAAATAAGAGCAAGTCCCTCAGAACTAAAAGGATTGACAAATGAAGATGCTCGATGGAATAGAATTACAGCCTATTAGTATTGGAAGTGAACCAAATGTCACATCCAGCAAAGGGGAGCACCTTAAATTCCTGTTCCGTGATGATGCCCTCTGCAAGGAGCTGTTTGGAGTACTTCTCAAGAACGGTAGGCATCTGTCGGATGCGCTTGTACATGAGGGGCTGGGTGAACATGGGCTCATCGGTCTCGTTATGCCCGAAGCGCCGGTAGCCCACGAGGTCGATGACGACATCATGGCCGAAGGTGGCACGCCACTCGGCGGCCACACGGGCCACGTGCACCACGGCGTCGGGGTCGTCGGCGTTTACATGGAAGATGGGCGAATCAGTGACCCGCGCCACATCAGTGCAGTGCTCTGAACTGCGCGACATTCGTGGATCCGTTGTAAAGCCAATCTAAGGTTCGACAGCAAAGGTACTTTTCATCCCCCTCTTCCAAGGGACCATGGTGAAAAAATATTGTTCTTGATGGGATTTGACGTTGTATTAACGTTCCGATCAAGTCGATATAATCAACGGCATATTACCAGAATCGAAAAGCCGTTATGCTCTGAAGATCATACTAATTTCAAAATAGCAGGTTTAAACTAATAGCAAACATGTGAGTAACCAAATTTTATTACCATATTTCTAGCAAGAAAAAACAACTACTTTTGCTTAGATAGAGCGAGGATGCACATTTGGATTAAATACTGAAGGAGAAACAAGAACTGCCCAAAGCTAATGAAAGGGGGTTAGAAACTAGCTTTCTTGATTATAATGAGCAAGTCATCCATAGCAGTAGTGTCGAGCACCAGCTTTTATTCTGAGCCAATACGAAGAGTGTTTGCGAGCCGAAATTAATTAATCGGCTTGCAAGAATTCAAAACACAAAGTTTTCATACCCGAAAGTTGTGCTAACTACGTATATGAATTTAGCTGTGTATCCCTATAAAAAACTACAAAGTTAAAAATCACAGCTACATGGGAGGATAACCACGGTGAAGCAAAAAATGTCGATTGTGACCTATAGTAGCTTAATTTAGAAAATAGGATGGAATTAACAGTTAAGGAAGTCAAACATTGAATGAGAAGAAAAGCACTAAAGAACAATTTGATTTCTTACCTGATTATTGACAACAATGTGAATAGTGCCCTTGGTAGTATAGGAAGGGAGATTGCTGAGATGGATAGTTTCGTAAACGATGCCCTGACCGGCAAAGGAGGCATCACCATGGAGCAAAATGGACATCACCTGTTTGCCCTCCTCATCTTTGCTAAAAGATCATGCGGCAAAGGCACTATAATGGTTTTTTACCTAATTGTCATAACAAAAAATGAATCATCCGGAAAATATTGCGAAAAAATTAGGAGTACTGAAAAGGTGTAAAACAGCAAAAGCAACAAAGAAGAGGACTCGTTGGATAGCAAAGATGGCTCACCGGTAGAACTGTTCAGCCCTTGTTTTACCCTGAACGACAGGATCCACCGCTTCCAAATGGCTTGGATTAGCACAGACAGCAATGTTAAATTTCTTCCCCGTTTTACTGTTGATCCAATGTTGACTCATGCCTAGATGGTACTTCACATCACCACTGCCCTCATCAGCCGCCTTAAGGCTTGGATCAAACTGACAGAAGATTTCGGACAAAGGTTTGTGGCAAACGTTTGCCAGTACATTCAAGCGACCACTAAAAGGGTTTAACAAGACAGCGAAAAAATAGACTACACTTGCTGACGATTTATGGATGCTCAAGGCATATCCAAATCAACCAACCTACCGGTGTGGCATGCCGATTACGAAACTCTCAACACCTCTCTCCACAGATTCGTCAATGATAGTCTTCATTGCAGGTATTAAGACCTCACATCCCTCAACACCGAAACGTTTCTCTGAGCTCCACTTCTTTGCAAGATATTCTTCGAACTTACACGCATGAGTGAGACGATACAGGAGGAGTTTCCTTTCCTCAGCTGATAACTTAGTAACGCCCGGCGTCTCAAAATGCCGACGCAACCAGTCGCACTTTTTAAGATCATTTATAAACATGTAGTCGACACCAATTGATTGACAGTAGGCATCCTGAAGTACAACGAGTAAATAAAGTAGGAAGACATTATTTCCAGCATAAAAGTTGAAATCTACCTCTAGGCGCTTAATGATTTCACGAAATGGCAGCTCGACCTGATCACCTCCAATGTGAGTAGTGAGTGGTAGACGAAAGGTTTTATTCAAATCAGGGGCAACTAAACAAGGCAAGAAAATATTTAACTAATATTATGGGATGCAGCAAGATACAGGTATTTTAGAAGCCAAAAGAAAAATAACGCTAACCGATTTCGCCAAGATAACGACCATAAACAATGTCGCGAGTAGATTCAATGGAAGACTTGATGTTAAGTGGATCCAACTTGGCAGCTAAGTGACCACGGAGCTGGAAGCAGAAAGTTGGAGTTTACGGTAGAATTTGCAAGCCGGAAAATAAGAAAGCTAATTCAACAGCCCATACCTGATATGAACGAATTATCATTTGAACTGTTAAGTGATCCTGGATGGTCTTTGCGCTTACTCCGGTTGGTACCGCTGTTTCCAAAGGGGTTACAAATTTTACTCCAAATTGTTCAAATCCAAGAGTAGGTGGAGGTGTGTAGGCGGCCCCTAGGGATGCTCCACTAGATACGCCACGAAAGTAAACATCCCATGACTGTAAAAAAGTATAAATTTACACAAAAACCAACCTTGTGAACAGAATTAGGATCTTTTAACCAAGCCGCATAAATATCTTCAATATAATTTGAAGATGCGCCGTTTAGGAACGGCTCGGCAGCGCTTTTATGTTGACATCTTACAGTACCAAATATCCGACAACTTAGCTTATTTGACTTTCTAAGAAACTGACCAAGGCGTGCGTAGAACATGACAGTAGGGTGCGAAAAAACCGCAGGGCAACTTTAAAATAGCACCAGAAGATGAAGGGGAGACTCTGTGAATGATTCAAACACGGCAAAACTGTCTGTTTTACAATAAAAACCCTACTTAAATATTTTTTATTAATATTACAAATAAAAACTAAAATTTCAATTAAGTTGCATTTTACCGCAATGGTCTAGGGGATTCTCTAGACTGCCAACTGTTTCCATTGCAAAATGATGTTCTTGGCTAATGCTTACTATTTGATTTTACCAGCACATAATAAAAAATCGCGTGTAAATATCAAAAGAATGATCATGTTGAATAGGATTCCAGTAGCCATCATTAAAGTAGACGCATTTTAAGTCACCAGTCAATGGCTTGCAAAAATTTCCACTAAGTAGGAGAATAAACTCAATGCTCTTTTTCGCCGCCAAAAAATATATTTTAGTCTCGAGCAAGAGTTGTTTTAAGTTTTTTAAACCCACTTATTACCAGAAGTGTTTCATTGACCATAGCCTATATTTCAACTGCTCAAATTTTCCAGTAATTAAATTCGCAAATGCACGAAATATGTTTTAAACACTGATTGCTAGCTCTAATTAATTACAAGACGCTGGGTAAGAAATTATAACTGGCTTCCCAAGTTTTAGACTGATATGCTGCACAGTGTATGGATTTTGTTAAACGGCTCCAGATCTACGGCCTTGATTCCGGCATTCCATATCAGTTTCCCGTTGCGGGTGCTTTGGCTTAGTTGCCGGTGTTTTATTGTCTGATCTGCATCTAGACTTAATGGGCTCAAAACCTGATTTAATTGCTGGAGTTGGTGATCCTCTAATATATAGAACTATTTGCACCAAGAAGAGTTCAACCTTACCGTTTTTTGTCAGGCAGTTGGAAAATGCTATTAGTGAGGCAGAGAAATCAGTCTCATTCAAAACAAACCTTCTCAAATGGGTAGGTTTCTTTAATGTATATTCTTTTTCAGGCGATTAAAGCGGACAATTTGACGATGGCCTTGAGTCAAGCTCAATTTATTATTTTAAAATCGAGTGAGATTGAAATGCTAAAGAATGTTCATCAGCGCATTACCAACTGGGAGGAAAATTCAAAAGGCGTTTCACAACGACAGGTGCTTTTTACCGTACAATATCATTTATTCGTTAGTGTGAGGATGGAGTTATCACTTTGTTAAAGAGGGGTCTTCATTTAATTGAAGATGTACCGTCTAGTGCCTTGTATGCTGAATTCAAGCAACTTGCAGAGTGCTTGGGCGATGACGCAGATGAGTCGTTCGATATTTTTCAATTGAAGACGATTGGTAAGGATGAGAAAATGTGCCTTATTAGAAAGGTACGTTTAACCTGCTCTAGTTCCTTTTTATGAGATAAGCTTCAAACCGTGCAATTTTTTTTTTCTAGTTCATTATGGAGATGTGCATGGAAACGCCACTCCCCGAAGGAATGCAACAAATAGCTTTCGGTGAAAGTAGTGCTCGGAGGTAGGCAGTGCTTTTTGCAATGCATGCATTCCAATTGAGTCATCTTTCGAAAATACATAAAATTTGCCTAAATGCGAAGAGGACATGACATTAGTACTATATGTAAACATATGTATTTGTGTGGAATACGAGTCGGTTTAGGATTTGCATACTTATTCTTTAAAATGTGAATTGATCACACCTCTTTTTTTAAACTGTATTTTACAGTTCCAGTGGGGCACGTACAGTTGGCAAATCACCCGACGTTGGTGACTACTCTTCTCTTCCATCCAAATATCAGGATTCTGCATTTTCTAACAAAGACATGAAGTAATCATCAGAATGCCATGGCTACTTCTCACCGTCATTTATCCATTCGAATAATTCTATGATTACCTGTAATTTAATGTTTTAGCGAGGTGTCCCCATCGGGTGAAAATTTAATCATACAGAAGGAGGTACCAGTGGTGCCTGAAGTTCCTTTAACACAGCTGGTATCGAACGAGTAGGTTCTTTGACTTGCTTACAGCTTCTCCACTGTCATTGAATGGTTTCTTTTTCGCATGTATTGAAAGCTAATTCCCCTACTTTTTCTACGATAAGTTTTTTAAAGGGAGGAAACGGTGGGGAAGCCGACCTTAACTGATATTTAATGTAATTTGACGCTTTTGAGCTCGAAGCTGGGTCACTTGGCTCATCTGCTCCTCAAAAAACTACTTCAATGCTATCACTTTTTGCTTTCATCTGATAATCGACTTTTACTACTAATTCTATTCTTCAAAAAATCTGACGTCTTTATTATTTTTTATCATTGACGCGCGTGTTGTTTTGTAAGAACAATTACTACAAAATTAAACTGATTTACTTTCTTTTAACATCTAACAGAATCCCCGATTCGAATGAAAGACCGCAGTTAGTGGCTTCCACCGCTAAAACTACATCATATTATTCATCACAGTTCCAATCTCTCTGGTTTCGCAACGACACCTCAAAGACGCTGTAAGTTTCTCGTCACCTCTACAGGCTATTTAGGCGCTTATGATTCTGGTTCATGTGCAAAGTCTGAACTAGGCCACTGAAGGCAAAGTATTGCTTAGTCGCTATTACATGTTTGTTCTATGAACGTACACGAAGGCTTAGTCTTTCACATGACTACTTGCTGTTCGAAACACCGCTGTTTGTTGTTGTTGATCTGGACACAATGTAAAGGTGTCAAAATATAAATGGAGTTCGTTTGAATATTATTGCCATCTAAAACAGATATTTGGCCGATGAAAACGTTTATACATGTGTTATATATTTGGAACTAAGATAATCGAATATTTTGCCTTCATCATGATTGAACAGGTGAATTGACGACTGCTATCTAAGATAAGTTAATTCCCACTTTAGTTTACTAGAAAAGGTTAGTCTAACACCTGCCACGAAATCAAACGCCAGAGCGCGAAAGAATGATAGTTTGAGTGCAGGCCGCAGATCTTTTGACCAGTTGGACAAGAAGTCAGTCACGGTTGAGCCGAATGCACCTCCGTAAATACCCCCAATCAACTCCGGAATGGTCAATCAGTAGGATTTTCTCTTTCATAGGCCTTAATTTTTTGGTGTTTTAGCGGCGAAGAACGCGATAATTTGAGGATTGCTGCAACCTCTGTGGAAGGGTTTCGAGGGAACTTTGCTCGAGGCAATAATGATCTTCGCAGGTGAGCTGATCATTTTCATTTTGCTAACAAAGAACTTTAATTATTGGTAGGGAATCATGCTGTCTTACTGTCTTCTTATGATTGACGCATTTTTAGATTAAATACTAAACGCGAATAACGCCTTCACAGTATATTTTTAAAGTGGTTTTTACTTGCAGTTCAACTGGAGGACATCACTATAATGAATTTCAACAGGGACTGTTGACTAGTCCTCATGTACCCTTAGATAGCGAAGAAATTATAACCAAAGAGGAAACAAGGTGAGTTTTCACTGACTTCACTTTTTTAAATTGATTCTTGGCGTAGGTTTGTACTACTCAAGTATTGGGACCAGTGCATTCTTCGGTCTTTGTTAGCACAAAGCGCATTCCTTGCAGGCAATTTTTGCTAGCTTAGGAGGCACAGTGCCGATTTATACTCACACGGTGCTCATAAGTGAAAAGTAGTTGTCAAACTGACTTTGTTACGTTGAACCTGCATTAACATAGCTATTTTTTCTCCTCTTAAAGACTTTTGCATTCAAACACTAATTAACCCCGCTTTAGAGAGAGGTACCATACACTTATTCAATCACTTTTCATATGCATTGCTCTCCGAAAAGTGGGGACAATTCCATTCTGGGTGTAACAGAGTAATCGAAAATTATTGTGGAGGTGTAGTTTCACACTGTCATACGTCCATATCGTTCAAGTCTTTTCCTTGCCTACCAATAAGCAACATTGCTTAAAGCCACTCTTGCCTACTTGCACGTGTCGCAGAGGTGCATTCTTCTATTTAGTTTAATGAGACCTTAACAAGTTTGAATTTCGTAAATGCAGTTGTCGTCATCCTGTTGCCACTTGGTTGACAAGGTGGGGTGTTATGCCTCCGGCGGTGTGTCTAGTTTGTATTGACGCGATTAAGCCAGTAGTGCGATCCACTAAATGATACCATTCGTACGAATTACGTGGCTTGTAAATCTGCAAAAGTTTAAGCAAATTACAAGTGGCATGTGGATGTTAAAGAAAAGTATGGAGCAGTTGCTTTTTACGATTGGATAAGTACAAAATGATGGACCAAACGATTCCGAGTTTCCAGTGGTTTTCGATGCAATCAAATTTTCACGTCTATTCGCAATACCGATTTGTGCCCGAGGCACAAACGAGCGTTTGCATTTTGCCCTTCCCCCCACCAAAAGAAACGAATGCATTTATTTGATGTACGGGGTACTGATCAAGTGTCCCTTCGGATAGAAATGGCATTTTACTCAATTTTCGACTTTATGGATTTTGGTACGTGATGACTTGTAATGATGGTTAATTCATGGTTCAAGTAACAAGTGGTGCTTAATAACACCCGTTTTTATTGTGGTGCATTTATTTACTTTCGTTTCAGCACTTCATACCTCAGTAATTACGATTATGTTTCCATTCCGAATCACACCTCGCGAGCATCGTTTACTACAGGAAATTAGGTGCTCACTGCCAGTGAAAGGTACTGTTTGTACCCAAAATTTCGCGAAGTATCCTTTATGTTCAGTTGAAATTTCTTTCTTCTCAATCACCATGGAACGTATATGTGACTAAAATTTGTTTTTGTCACTTTTTACTTTATCTCTTAGCCTAATTTGTTTAAAATTCATAATCTTAAGCCACATTCAAATTTCGCATTTCCACTTGACTCCAGGTATCGTTAATCTGGTTTATGTGTTCGGTCACTTATCGCTGGTAAATTTGACATTCGTTTTGCTTTGAATAGGTTAAGACAGCTACTCTATAAAAGTGAATTATAGCTACTACGGGAGAGAGATTTAAAATTTACAGTCTTGTCAAATCTTTCACAGTCTCGAATGAGCCGCACTTCGTGCGGCTGTCATTTTCTAAATTGATGGTGTTGACTTGACTAAACTGTCTACAAATCTGTGGTACAGAATAATGCGTGGAGGCCAAGCGTCAGGTGGCGAGTTAAGTTTCGCTCACCAGTAAATGGTGCCTCCGATACAGACTGACCATCGCCTTTTTACTCGGTCTCACATCCTCACTGACAGGCTCATTGTGCTCTACCTCTATCTTAAACGTTATTGTGTTAATTTTCTCATAGCATCAGTTACATTGGTCTGAACTGCATCTATAATTCAGCAGATGTTTTAAGTAATATAATTCCACCTGCCTTTTAACACCGTTTTATCGTATGAATTCGGTTGCCCCACGCTGGCGGTAAAACATTCCTGGGTGTATCAATGGTTTATTCTCTTGTAATGTGCTCAGGCAAATATTTTATTGCTTGGAGCTTTTTCAGACAATTCACATCAAAAATTGTGAATTAATCTACTTGATGATGTGAATGAAATATTCCTTAATCTTTTTAGCCCAATCCACTTTTTATCATGCCCCACGCCTTTTTAAAATGATGCTACTAACTTTACATCTTACGCTTTCAAGAAGAGTCCTAACTTAGAATCGCAGTTTGTATATTACGAGATCTCTGTCTGATCTCGCATCCTACGATAAACTTATGAGACTTGTATTTTGAACTTTAGGTGTTTTCTTTCGCAACAGCGAATTTCGGTGATAGGACTTTTATATCCATAATTATGGTGTCATGGTAACATTGTATAATTCAGTGGTGTTGATGCATTGAATCTTTTGGGAGAGTTTTGCTCTAAGTTTTGATTTAATTCAACAGATTCCGTCAATTTTCTTTAAGCTTGACCTCCAACTGTTGCTTTGTTACCAACCATCACAGTATGTGTAACAAGAGGCGCTGTTTTTGTGCTATTTTAGAGTTGAATCTGAGGGGAACCACGTGTCATCCAGTTCTTCAAGTGACCGGGAAAAGGCCCCCTACCCATGGACCACCGATAGGTTTGTTATTTTTATGCAAAAACACTTCTTTTTTAAGTCATCTAAACTCCAAGTAATTGATACTACTTGTATCTGGCATCGAATAAAACTTGTTAATCATCTTTTGACTGGTTCTTCGGCAGTCTGTGACTGGCCAGCGAATGACGTAAGACCTAGACTACTCAAGTTTGTCGACCTGATGCTTCAGATGATGTAGATGTCATTTTTATTGTGGTGGTTTGCTAATGGATTTCTGCATAACAATCAAAGACAATTGGGGAGTGACGTTCATTTGGTGACAGTGACGTTGATAGCCACACCTAACACTAACCTCTCCGAGTAAGCACCGAATTTACCTTTCCTTTGTGATGCGTAGCAGCCTGCACAGGCTTTTTCAAAATTAAAAGTGTAACGTTGAGGTACGCGCAGGTGTGCGATGAAATGTTTTCCCCTGCCCAGACGGGTTAGTTGCGTGAGCTTGTAAGAATACGGCGAGGCGCGACCTTTACGCATATTATTCCCTTTCAATAGTTGCTCGTTTGGGGCCCAATGAGTTTTTGCCTCGTTATGTAGCAGTGAAAGTACTTGTTGAATTTTTAAGTCGCTCTGAAACTCCCAAATTCAGTTTTATCCATGATTGGGATGGAAGACAATGTTGAAACGGATGAGCATCCTCGTCATAAATTGGTTAAATTGCCTTTTAAACTAAAATACGCAGATTTGCGATGTAGGTAAACCATCCATTGTGTAGTTGAGGGATTACTTGACCCTTGCATTTCTTCCCTTGGATTCATTTCGCATAGCACCTACAGAGTGGTTGTTACACTGCTAGTTACTCATTGTGCATATGTTAGATTCCCGTCTCAACGCTAAACTCAAGTCGACCACAGTGTATTCTTTGAGGTCAGTAATTTTTGCAGTAGTGATATTTACAAATTACGATTCACAATAGCATTCAGATTTATAAACCCTAGGACGTTATTCCATGGTTCGGTTATTAGAACAGGAAAGTCGTTGATATCGGGTGTAACATATGCGATGGTAGGTTCATGCTTATTAAAAAGAAGGTACTTATTTGACACTAACAAACTTGAACTAAACACTACAGCGTTTGCATGTACGGAGCGCAAGACTGGGCGAATCCTTCGCGAAGGCCTTCGAGACAGGCTGCATCAGCAAATTTTTGAACGAATAAACGGTAGGCAAACTGCGTTCTGTCTTTATTGTAGTAACGGGGAATCGGCGTTTCGAGGCTCAGCGCCCATAATACCGTGGTACCAGCAGCGCCTTAATCAGGGCAACCTCTGGTGTCAGCGCAGTTCGGAGGCCGAGGAGCCTGGCAGGTGGGTTATTCGCTCACCCTCCTCATTTGTCTGCTTAATCGCGAACTGTCTCCCTTCTGCGATCGTACTTCCCGCCGATACTGCTTCTCAGTACCGATCGCCCTCCGGGCTGGTTAAAATGATGAAATTGAGTAATTTTGTGCTCGTTTAGTAATCAGATTTATCCGATATACTGATATTTTATGGTCATTTTTCTGCTCACTCGGATCCGGGATTCTTTATGACCACTTTCTACAATTTTTAAACTAATGTATTTCTTCGCAGACTAACTTAAAATAATGGGACAATTTCTCAAGTGAAGCCGATGTGCCGTTAAATCAGCCTGACTAGCATAACAAGAAGTGCTGTTTGTCCTTTGCTCTGATCTCTATTACCACCATTTTTGGAATGAAGTTGTACATGCTTTTGGTTTTAATTTTATGGTTGTTTGATTGGTTTTAATTGCATTATATCTCAAGAATTGCGCGCTATCAAATTGGCAAATTTCAGGGGATTATTTGCGTAATTTTATTAACCTTACTACAAAGTTGTCTTTCGTCTGATTATTTTCCACGCTTCATCATGCATGTGATTTCAAAGTCCACCTAGTATTGCTACAATAATTAATTGGTTTTAATAACTGCCTTGTGTTATTCTGTGGCAGTTTTGCAGAAACTAGCTTAAAATATGTAATACCAAGTTTTCATTAACTTTAGTCATAAAATGGGCCTTTTTGTGATGGAATGTAATGTGTACATGTTGTGTACCGCCTCAAGTCTTCCTTGAGATCGTAACAAGCCAAAATGGCGGTTGGGAGGCTATTGCCATGCCCCAAAGGCTGTGCCACAGAGTGGAAATGAGGCCTGTGAAGACGGAAGTGCCAGCGTAATTAAAAATGTTCAGTCGCACAGAATCCCAAATTACTGCAGTTTTACTTTGCCCGGGATGATTTAACCGAGTGATCCCGCGCTTCCAAAATTATTGCTTGCAAATTGCACGGAATTGGGGCTTGTGAAGTGTTTCAAAGCAATGTTAAATTAATTAATAACGTTCCGTTTGATGCGGTTAATTCTCTTATTACGAATGATGAAACGCCTTGGCACGCGAAAGGGACCATAGTGCTTTGTGCGCACTCCTCAAGTGCGACATGGTTTTCCATCATTGGAATTTGTTTCCTTCCAATCCTTTTTTCTCTTCCACTGACAGGACCTCAGTGGGTGGAAGTCTCTCGCGCAGTAATACCAATCGCCAAAGCCTGCGCAGCTTTCTCTTCAATGGAAACGCAGAACAAAACGTCGGAAGCAAAAAGTAATGCAAATGACTCCCATTTCCGAACACTAGTCCCTCGTTTGCTCATCCACGAATAATTCCAAATAACTATGTTATTGAAGCCAAGCGAAACATCTCAATAATGAATAAATCGAAAAGGGATGTAGCCTTTCGCGTAATAATGTATCGTTTTATACTCATCCCTATTGATTACATAGTCTATTTTGGTGTTTTGTTCAATACCAAAAGATAGGTTAATTTGGGGATTTGCTTCCAGTCTTCAAAAAATGTCCCGAAGTGATTGACCCTCTGCTAAAGACATTATTTCATGCAGAGTTTTCTTTGCTAACATTTTAACAATTTCTTAGTTGTGAGCATTATTTGAATACACACAGATAAATCATTTCACTTTTTTTCGGTTCTAGTACTTAGTTAAAAGATACAAAAAATCTGAAGATCGTAGTGGAAGGCATTGGTTTTTTTAAAAGTATTTTAGTGAGAGGTTGTTGGAAAAGAATTCGCTTTTCTGACGTTTGATTACTCTTGAACAGGACGAAAGAGGAAGTGGCGCCGGTCACACCGTTGATGGTGCCTCCGTCCGGAGACGAGCGATCCATTTCGCGCAACAGTTCGCTGAGCAGCATTTCGCCTTTCCGCCCTTACGACGATAATGTCTTCAACGGAACCCCGCGCTCTCATTCACCTGCGGCCAAACTGCATCGTAGCCGCTCGACCAGCGAGACCTCTGATGTGGCCGTCATAGGCGTCAGGGAGCGAGTCATCGAGCTCCAGCATCGAAGCGCTACTGCTTCTCCCTCGGCAGCTACAAAACAGCACTTCCCTCCACTCAGTCTCATTCCACAACTGCGTCAACGGAAGTCTGAGCTCACAGTTGACTGGCTGGAGCGCTTAGAGGGCCAGTTGAAGCAGTACATGGAGTCCTCCTGCCACGAGTATAATGTCATTCTTCGCTGGATCTTATCCTGTGGTTCGAGACAAGAGGATAGCTATGCGGCAACCTCCCTGCAGACGTCAGTTGAGGATCTTGTGAGCCATTTGACCGCGCGTGACGCTATCAATGGCTCGAGGGATGTATTACCTCCCCAGCCGTTACGAGGAGATGATTATTTCAACCCGAATGAAATGCACTCACATAGAACTTCTTCAGGTAGGCACTGAATAAGCGCAAAGCATCTGTGATACCTTTCGCTGGGATTGTGAACTAATATTGACTTTTTCCATTGCATTGACCCGTGTAAACCCGCTTTTTTAATGAGCAGTAAATTACCAGTGGAGCCTCATATGGTGTTTTGCCCGTAGGGATTGATATGGGTTTCGTTGAGTAGAAGAAGGAAAATGTGATTTAGTTTTAGCCTCTTTGGTAAAAATGAAGCCATTTTATAAGGAAAAGCAGGGAAGAAATTTAGGTCCAATTATTTCAGTGGTAAAATGGAGTTAACGCATGTGCATGTTGCGATCATTTTAGACTGGAAAACCTACCGGCCATCAATTAGAAAGTGGAGGTATGGGGTTCGCGACAGAAATTTCACCGTTTCTAGTGCTTCTGGTAAATCCGTTCGCTGGGTCTTCCCCAATATTGCAACAGTAGTTAAATATAGTCAAGTCACCTCATCACCCGTCAAAAGTGTATTCATATGTTAACTAGTTTAACCCATACTGAGAGTCCCAACTGTACGCAGTTTCATCTGATCGACAATATTCGTTCGGTACTTTCTGGTATTTTGGTGTAAAATCATCACTTTACGCTTCTGTCATTCCAGGTGGTAATCAAAAATGAGATACTTTGGTCTGCTGTTCAACGTAGTTTCGAAATTATGAGAGGGACCAAAAGTGTAGTGGGGCTGTCGTTGCGTCCCTGCAACTGCAAAGCGGTTTTTGTGGGTAGTTTACATAAAGGTAAAAAGGTCTCGCAGACCATTCAGGCACCCCGTAATGTTTAAAATTCTGTGAAAGAAAAATTTAATTAAGCATGTGAGTACATTCAATTGTGTTGAAGTGAATGCATTCACACATATCAAAATAATCTATTCTAGCACTAAACTTGCATTTATTATAGAAACAGGAAGAGTAGGACGTTGCTAGATGCCTCTCCCAAAACAGTTCCACCCTTCAAATTACTAAGATTTCTTCAGAACCATCCAGATTTCCGTTCAAATCAACCATTATCGAGGTTTTCCAAATACTTTTTAACTCATCTGTTTACATACATCATTAAAAGAGGGTTTAGAAGACGCCAGTCGAACGCCGAATTCGGATGCGCATGGGTAAAGCACTCAATGAGTGGGAAATTAGCGAAAAGGCATATTCAGTGGTTTTGTTTAGTAAATAAATGAGTTTTAATCACTTATAACCCATATTTTTATTTGACAAAAACAGTCGATGCAGCTATGCATTTAAGTAACAGGAATTGATTAATGGATAGACAATAAAACGCCATTTGTTTATTAGGTAGAGTACGTTTTCTGTCGAAAGAAAGAGATGAAACATTGTAAATCAAACCGAAAAATGCAAAAGACATTGAAATCCATGCGTTAATAGTGAACAAACTATGTGCTAAGATAAATCTCAGAATTCATCGCCTACCACAATGACTTATTTACGGAATTTAATTGACAACGGCAAGTGTTTTGCGGATATAACACCGCTCTTATGTATTTTTGCGATTTACGGGTCTTGAGCAAAAGCCAATTAAGAAGTCCTTCCTAGTATGAAGCTGAACGGAGCATAAGGCAGTTAATTATATGCAAAAATGCTTGTTTTATTTTACCAAATTTGGTATCGACCTCATTGAGGGAGTTTGGACATCACAGCGAAAACCCATGTATGCCAATTGGAAATTGGAGTAAGTTGGTTTTTTCTTTAAAGCTTTGTGAATAAAGATGTGGAGATCCTCTTCGTCCTTTGACGTGGTACGTTCTTCTATCAAAGCTTGATTAAAGGCCTCCCCGAATACGCGTGGGAATCAATGGATATGGGCCAACTGCAAGAAACTTTTTAAGGTGTGCTATTGAAAGTGATCGGGGCATCGATGTTGTTGCAATAAATGCTCCGGGTATAACTCCCGAGCTTTTAGTTTATTTAATTAAATATAATAGTGTGTACTCACCATGTCCTGGAGTAATCAAAAGCAAAGCAACTTTCGAGAGACCATTTGATCCCGATGCTCCCAATTGCCTGATGCTAGATATTTGTGGACGAAAAATAGCATATTTTGACTAC